TGGAAGGCCGTATAATTTACCTCAGTTTAGGATAGACTCTTGAATTTTGAAGAGTCGAAATAGGATGAACGGATCATATAAACCCAAAGGCAAATATAATACAAGCCCAAACGAAAAAATATAAATAAGTCTAAATTGAAAACAACGTTCAAACCTATGATTGCGTTGGATAAAAACCGCAATTTTTATACGTGTGCATGAAAAACAAATTTCTTGGTAGAGGGGTATAAATACAGCACACACAACATTTTCTAAAAGACCAAAAAGGTGAAAAAGTATATTTAAACAAAACGCATTTGACTAACAGGTCGAACAACGGATGTTCTTAAACCCTGCTGACTGTCATTGGCGATTGCCAAATAAACGGATCACAGGATGTAACAAAATGGGTCTTAATTATTAATTTAATACCAAACAGAAAACAATAAACTTGCGGAAAAGATGGTATACCGCAAACATTGAGGTGCAAAAATTTGTACACCATATCCGGATTTCGACTATTAATGTCTCTTCAGTGATGTTTGGAATCGAAACGGTATTTTGAAGGCATTATAATTTACCGATAGACTCTTGAATTTTGAAGAGTCGAAATACAGGATGAACGGATCATTTAAACCAGAAGGCAAATATAATACAAGCCTAAACGAAAAATTTAAATAAGTCTAAATTGAAAACAACGTTCAAACCTATGATTGCGTTGGATAAAAACCGCAATTTTTATACGCGTGCATGCAAAACATATTTCTTGGTAGACGGGTCTTAATACAGCACAAAAAACATTTACTTAAAGACCAAAAAAGTGAAAAAGTATATTTAAACAAAACGCATTTGACAAACAGGTCGAACAACGGATGATCTTAAACCCTGCTGACTGCCATTGGCGATTGCCAAATGAACGAATCACAAGATGTAACAAAATGGATCTTTATTATCAATTTAATACCAAACAGAAAACAATAAACTTGCGAAAAAGATGGTATACCGCAAACATTGAGGTGCAAAAATTTGTACACCATATCCGGATTTCGACAATAAATGTCTCTTCAGTGATATTAGGAATCGAAACGGTATTTGGAAGGCCATATAATTTACCTTAATTTAGGATAGACTCTTGAATTTTGAAGAGTCGAAATTGGATGAACGGATCATATAAACCCAAAGGCAAATATAATACAAGCCCAAACGAAAAAATATAAATAAGTCTAAATTGAAAACAACGTTCAAACCTATTATTGCGTTGGATAAAAACCGCAATTTTTATACGTGTGCATGCAAAACATATATATATATATATATCTAATATTGTTGGGCTGATGTTTAGACGAGTTGTATATACAGAATGTACACAACCATGTATCACCATCACTGCTGGTGATCCGATGGATAAATCTGTTGTAGAGTTGTAACTGGTTCAGACGTACTTATAAATATAATTATTTCTATGACTGTATCTTGCATTAATTTGTAGGATCCTTTACAATAGATATTTCAGCTGATCTGTAACAATCCCATCTTCATGCCTTATATATCATGTACTGTATTACGACGCTAGATTAAAACTGACGAGGAATGGTAACACACGGTCACCGAAAGCTTCATTATTGTGAAGCCTAGGTGGTCGAATGGTCTAGCGCGTCGGATACAGTGCAGGCGATTTGGTGTCACGATATCTCAGTAGCATGAGTTCGAATCCCGGCGAGGGAAGAACAAAAAATTTGCGAAAGCAAATTTACAGATCTAACATTGTTGGGCTGATGTTTAGACGAGTTGTATATATATATATATAAAGTGCCTTGAAAATCAACCTTACGATGTTAGATAAGATCTGATTCTTTACTTTCTCCCCAAGCGGGGCTGAAACCTGTACTTTTTATTTCTCACTTCTACGACAACACCGCCTTGCATTGCACAGACGCCTTATCCCCTCCTCTAACTATAGCTGATAAAAACAAAGTTTTGGGAGGTGTTACCTTCTCGTAGGAATTAAACAAGGACATCTAACACATTATTAAAAAAGGAAACATTAAATGTAAGTATCTATAAATATTTCGGATAACAGATATCCTTCATCAGTATGATTATAATGTAAAATGAATTATATCAATCTATTCTGATTTAACTATAACAATCGTTAAAGATCCAACTTCAAAAGTTTTAACCATAAATAATCGAGCTTTACTTCATTTACAGTTTTCAGCAATTGTTCTCTAAAAATCACACATTTCACTTCAAAATTACATTCATATGAATTCTAATTGCTAGTAGATTGCATAACACAATGATAAGATAGGGTGTCATGTCTTCACCAAACAACATTTTTGTATCAGCCTTAAAATTGATAAGATAGGGTTTCATGTCTTCACCAAACTACATTTTTGTATCAGCCTTAAAATGTAACCATAAATAACAGTTTTTCTTCTTTACCTATTTGTACCACAAACTTTACCCCAAAATAACCTTTTCCTCAAATTATTTTAATGTATATTTTTAGTATGCATTCTAATTTGCACTTTAAAAAATCTTGTGTTGCAATTAGTTGCAGGTTGAGTTATTTTAGAGTTAAATTGAATAAGCTATCTATAAATTTCGTACGTCCGAAAGGCTTTTCTTTATTATCCATCATCCTGAACGTTCAAACCGAAACATTTGAAAGCCAGTTGGAGTATTAGTATATGACCAAAATACCCCTGAATAAAATATCCGAATTTCACTCTTGTCAACCTTGCCCGAGGGAGTTGAAAAATAGGAACCAAAAACATTTTGGAAAGTACAACAAACTATTTAATTCGTGTCTGTAGCGACGTTTTGGATTTCAATGAATTTAATCTATGTATTACTGGTTATTTATTAAGTCAGGGATTTCATTACCACAAATTACCTAAAACCTTTACTAAATTCTTCTATAGATACACATGTTTAGAAGTTTGGCTGTTCCTGTTGAATAAACTTGATTCAAACAGGATAGCATATCCTAAATTTTACGGAGATGTTGTTTACCGAGCCCTTAAAATTGAAATACGATCCGTGTACACGTATTGATCCTTCAAATAAACTTATTCTAAAAGGTTACCAATTCAACACTGAAACTAGATCTTTGAATATTGTTTTTATAGCTATAAATATTGATTTTGTTATCAGTAAATTAAAACCAAACTAGATATTATTGGTATATACATATGCACATTCACGGTTCTACAATCTGTCTGTACTGATTGATATTTCAGTCTTAGAAACATGACTTCTTTTGTTAGTTGTTATTGGCTTTGAACTAACTGTCAGTAACTGCGAGTACTCTCAGATATGTACCATATGCAACTATTCCAGTCATAATTACGTTCGATAACTCTGCATGTTACTGGTTTAATTAGGATTATGTAAAATTTACTAGTTACCCGATGAATGGTTTAAAGAAAATTGAAAAATATAGTTATTTCACCTCGGTTAATATCCATTCGAGGTCTTCTTTTATAAATATAAAATAATATCGTAATGAATTTCATTGAGAATCTGACAACACTAATCAACATAGGTATTGTCAAAACATACATCTACATAGGTATTGTCAAAACTTACATCGTGATTAGGTGCCATGTTTGTTTTCTTTGATCACGTTGATGTTATGACTTAATATCTCCTAAGTCTAGCTATGTCCTTGGCTATCATTATAGTGACAATAACGTGTCATATTTAATTGCAATATAAACAGTGAAATTAAATTGAATTATTTGCATGGACAAAATAGGTGTCGAACATCGTCTACGTTTGAAAATTATTTAGTCGCCATTTTTTAAAATTTTTATAAAAAAACAACAGCATGTACCAGCTTTATTAAATGGAACCAATGTTTGATTCTATGCTGCTTTAAGGTAGGACAATGATTGAAAACGCGAGCATCCAACAGTTATTTGATTTTCATTGTAACAATCTTACAAAATATATATTTACCAAGTCGGCCCACGCTGTCAATGTAGTCGCCATCTTGAAAAATAAAACCCGATTTTCTGAAAATAGCTTATTTTCAAATCAATTTGGAAGGGACGTAATAAAAAATTAAACTATTGCGTGTACGATATTTCAAATATTTATGAATATAGTAATAAGCACATATTTCCACAATTTTTCCATCTGTTTTGTTTAAATCGCAATTTTAGGTTTAACACGACAGAAAATCCAATATTTATCGGAGTTGGATGATTTAACAGTGTGAATTATCGAGGCAACAAGACAAATTTTCAAAAGCATTTGGAAGGGAGAAGACCAAAATTTAAACTTTTCCAAAAGGCATAAATATATTTCTAAATATATGAGGAATTACTATATATTTCCACACTTTTTTTATCATGAACTTAAAGTAATCTATTTTATCGATTCCTGAAAGCCCCTGTGCATTTCTATACATTTTACTTGGGCATGATACGGGTGATGTGTGACGTCGCCAATGTCACGTGATGACTGCTATAGTTGGATATGTTAGTGTTTTTTTTTATTGTGGGGTGTATACATTATCTGCCACTTCCGGTCTGAGTTTTTGTAACTAGTTTTTAAGTTTGTATCGATCTGTTGAGTTAAGCCCTTTTCAACTGATTTTTATAGTTTGTTCATATGTTTTGCTGTTACACCACTGTTCTGCGTTAAGGAGAGGATTGGGCGCCCGCAAACGTTTAACCCCACAACATTCTGTATGTGCCTATCCCAAGTCCGGAGCCTGTAATTCAACGGTAGACGTTTGTTGCTGTATATTATATTTATTTTTTGTTCATTGTTTTGTACATAAATCAGGCCGTTAATTTTTCGATTGAATTGTTTTACATTCTTTATGTCGGACCTTTTATAGCTGACTTTGCGGTATGGGTTTTGCTTATTGTTAAAAGCCGTACACTGACCTATAGTTGATAACTTTTATGTCATTTAGTCTCTGGTGGAGAGTTGTGTCATTGGCAATCATATTACATCTTCCTATTCTTTTATATACAAACAATAACATTTGACTTGTTGTTTACCTTTATTACAGTCACAGGTTGGACATCCAGTGCTTGGATCCACACACATTGTTAATGGACACTTGGACATATCAAGCTTGGGACAGTTAGTTCCACCTTGTCCAGTTCCTGTGTAAGCTTTAATTTTAAACAGAAACAGTGTTAGCCTTATCTTAACAAAACTCCAAAAGTAGTAATAGTACTATGCATTATAGAATTAGTAATAAAGAAAACAAATGTACCGCGCATTCTCTTTGTCTTCAAAGAACTGCAAAAATGAATGGTTTGATATATACTCATTTTGATATTTACTCTACCGACAATAAAGGACTTTGTCATTTAGACAATTATTATAACATAGTATGTCACATGAAAAAGCAAGAAATGAAAATAAGTATCAACCTATCTATACCCGAGGCGATCAAGATATTGTACTGTATATACAGATGTCTTTTGTTATATTCATTGTGCTGACTTGTGGGAGTTTTGATTTGTTATGTTGTCTTTTGTTGTCTCAATGCTTCATGTCAAATGTCTCTTTTTACAAATAGCATTATACAAACTTTGTTATTTTTATATTCAACTTACGCTTGCTTTGATCGCCTGCCTGATTGCATATAGGGCATCCCTGAGAATCAATTGTCTTACCAGTAAAACAGTTAACAGGAGAGGAATTACATAGTCAGATGTGTTTTGTTATAGTATATTAAGCATTGTGGTAACATGTGGGTGGTTTGATTTGTTATGTTGTCTGGTTGCTGTCTCACTGATCACGTATGCCCAATATTTCGTATGCCAAATATCGTAAAAACACTGTGTTTTTTTCTTCGTTAACTTACGCGAGTTTTGACCATTGCCTGCCTGATTGCATATAGGACATCCTTGAGAATCAATTGTTATACCAGTGATACAGTTAACAGGAGATGGATTGCATACTGTGGAAAAAACATGTACTATTGGTTAACACACGATAAACATTCTCATTAAACACATTGAAGTTATTTCAAATTATGATTAAAGCAATACTTCAATGGTCTGAAAGTATTTTGTGTTGTTGAAATGCCCTTTTTGTTACAGGGATAATTTGGTATAACTGTGATGTGGGTGATTGTTTGAATTTGCTTAGCGTTCAGAGTCAATTCTCTCATTTCTTTTTCTTTCATTTTTTTTGGAGGAGGGGGGGGGGGGGGGGGGGTACTAGCAACTGTGTGCATCTTTTAACTTATAATTTAGTATTTCATACTGAGTATATGTTTGAACTATTTATAAATGACGACGTATATTATGTGTTCTTATGAATAAAAACATACGGTGTCCTGAGGCAGATAACTGCTGCGAACTGGTTTTTGAATCTGATGTAATTTCCTGCTGCATAGCACATGTGGTCTGTGATCCAGACTGCTGTGATCCAGATGACTGCTGAGATCCAGACTGAGGGGATTGAGTAGGATTAAGATTTGCACTTAAACCACCTGATACAAAACTTCCAAATGTATTCGGTTGTCCACCTAAAATACTGTTCTTGCTTAGAATTTCAAAAAAATGTACTTCCGTAAAACTATAGGTTAACGTTTAGAAATTGTTCAGACCTCAGAGCGTGTAGTTCACACTTGATCAATGTTTACAAACAAAGCAAATCAATTGTGAAAACGTTCAAGTTGAATTGTGATAATTGTATTTGTATCACCATACTGAATATAAAATACAAAAAGGTATAACTAAGTACTATTTTTATCCAAAAGCGAATCTCAGTTTAGATTTTACAAATAACAGGAGGTGATATATGTGCGTGTACGTCAGTCATACAGCAACCAAACAATACAAACAATCAAAATACACATAGAAGTCAATATAATGTTTTTAATAATAAAACACAAACATGTGTACACTATATCAAGCTTTATATTGCCCCGAGTCTAGAAAAGTAGTAAAAGAATTTAACAAAAAATATCAAAGATATGCAATCAACACACAATTTCGTAAAAAGACAACTTACACATAAAGATAAAACAAAACACATCAAATAACTTGGTTCCTGCTTTTGGAAAGACACATGTTTATGTAGAACTCTTTCACTATTTTATCTCGATTAGTGAACTAACGGAAGGACATTTAAAGGATATTTAATACTACCACTTATAACGGTATATAAACCAGTTAATATTATATGAGCTGCGTCGGACAGTAGTCGACCTTATGCAAGTCCACGTATACATGTACATGTATAAGACTTCGATTGATTTGGAACATTCAAAAACAAAATAAAAGATCAATTTTGGTCTGTTTTTTTGGGTTCTCAATTTTCAAACAGTTACAGACTGTCCGTAAAAATTTTCTTCAACCCGAAGTAGGTTAACAGATGTATTGATATTCATTTCATAAGATTGAATCATGACGATCTACACTCTTATGTCGGGGTTTGTATTTCGTAGTAGATTGCATGCATTAACGTCAAGTACAGTAAAAAAAAACATGACAACCAAAATTATTCAAAAAGACATGACAACCAAAATTATTCAAAACAGCAATATAACGGCTTGTGTAGTGTTCAAAACAATAAACGAACAAGTTGTATAGTTTTCACTGCAACAAATGTTTCTTGAACCACACAATTATAGAGAAAAATCAAATAAATGCCACACATATATGGTATTAAATTACCCGGAATCCACATAAAAATTTTAAAAAATACCAACGAAATAATAACACAAAAAACACACACATCCACATGAAAACAGAACATAATACAAACAAAAACGAAAACAAAAGTACACGGAGTTTAATGCTTTCGGCAAAGATTTTCTTTTATTTGTAAAATTTCTCGTCTTACGTCAATTTAATATTTTCAAGTAGGTAAAACATACTCGCGATAAACAAACCTGGACACGGCGAAGGACATACAAAACAACCATTTTGCCAGGTTACGCATGTACACATAAAATCTATCTGTGGACATGAACTAGAAGCTGAAATGAAAAGATACGGAACAGTTTAAGCATATAAGGACAATAGTTTGTGATTTGTACTATTTCACTGAATTATTATTTGAACACACTACAAACGAGTAAAAGTCTGAAATGGCCTATATCTGTACTCGACTGTACTGATTTTTACTCGACCAGTCTGAATTGGTCTGAATTTTACTCGACATTACTCGACCCCAGTCTTAACCATACTCGACTGTACTGATTTGTACTTGACCCTTATCTTTGCCATTGAAAATAGTCTGAACTATTACTCGACCAGTCTGAAACAGTCTTAACCCATTCTCGACCTGTACTCGACCTATTTTTTTCAGTCTTAACCATACTCGACCAAAGGTCTGAACAATACTCGACCAGTCTGAACCATACTTGACCAAATAACCTCTACTTTTTCTAAACTTTAACTGTTAAAATAAATTTCTTTTTTACTGACATGACAACAGCCACAATAAAATAAAGATATATTATAAAAACAGATTTTTACATTCTTACATGATTCTCAGATTTATCGAATAGAGATAGTTAAATCAAATTATATTATATAGTTAAATCAAATTATCTTATATAATAATTTAATTATATCAATTTTAAAGTTTTAGAGTTTTGTTAAAAAAAGATTTTCTTTTACCTAAAAACCACACCTATACTGAGGGTAATTAAACCTTATTAAGGTGCTTCTTGTTTGGCATGTGTTTTTTTTTAAATTAATTTTCCTAAATTCCTAAATAAAAACTACATAGGTTTCATGGATACATACAAAAAATGTACAATAGTTATATAATTATCTTTTTAATGAGGTAACAACAGCCAACAAAATCACTGAAATTGTTTAACCTTATTTTAGAAATATATCTATTATTATAATTTGGGATATATTATATACAATATATATCAAAAAGGGATGAAAATTAAAGAAATTAATAAAATTGTTCTTCTGATTAGTGGTGAAGTATAAAGTAATACCTCCTGCTTGGGGCAAACTCATGAAAAAGATCACACCTGGTCAGAGAGTATTAAATTCTAAATAACATTCATTCAAAATTGCAACATCCTGTGAAACTTAAATCGCAAGGCCTTTTGAATTCACTAGATAAGTAATACATGTACACGAGTTTAAGAAAAATAAGGCTTTCTTTTTACCTGTAAAACACACATGTACTAAGGTAATTAAACTTTATTAAAGTGCTTCTTGTATGCCATGTCTTTAATTTTGACAAAAATCATTTAAATTTAATTGAAATAAATTTTAACTGTAACTTTGGAACACATTTCCTTTTTTAAAAGTTTATCACAGGATTACTATGGAAGTTCTATTATCATGATAATATTAAATTCTTGGTTTAATAAAACAAAGGTGTCATTTTTTAAATTTATTAAGTTGCTTTATATGCTATTTTATATATATTTTAATAAAAAAAATGTTCACTGCATTATTATTTTAACTCGACTAACACCATAAATCTATACGAGGTTTAAGTTAATGGTGAAAATTGTCCAATAACCATAAAATATATCTGAAACATTCAAAAAATTTTGAATAACATTGAAAATATTAGTCACAATTCAGTTTTGAGATTATTTGATCAGCTTGTTTTATTTTTATTTTAAAGGTGATATATATATGTATGTATATAAGTGTTGATGAATATGGTGATGAAGTTATATTATGTTTATTGTGAAATTTTGGTTTCAATGCTATATTGAATACATTTTTAATTTCAAATTGTTGTTCAAATTTCTGGCCAGGGGAAATAGCTGTTGTTAAAAGCAGTTCCTAAATTGATGAAATACAATAGATAGATACAAAAAATAGGTCTAGGTTGGTTAAGACTTGGTCGAGTATGGTTCAGACTAGGTCGAGTATGGTTCAGACTAGGTCGAGCATGGTTCAGACGCATATAAAATGGTTAAGTACTGGTCGAGTAAGGGTCGAGTACAAGTTCAGACTGTTAAGTATGGTTCAGACTACAGTCGAGTATTATCAAGTAAATTTCAGACCAATTCAGACTGGTCGAGTAAAAATCAGTACAGTCGAGTACAGATATAGGCCATTTCAGACTTTTACTGGTTTGTAGTGACAGTGTCACTCACATTTGGTAACAATTGTAAGACATTGGTTGGTATTGCGATTTTTTCATTCAATAGAAATCATTCAACTATCACTACACATTTTATTTTATTTTTCACATTTAGTGTATCCATTAATAACGCCAATTGCAATGCTTATACGAAAAAGAGTGTTGAAATTACTTTTGTTTATATTTTACAAGATTCATATAAGTTTTTACGCATGCTTAAAACAACATCCTTTAAAACTGTTGACCTGAAAATGCATGAAGTATTTGTCACTGGACGGTAAGGAAGCAACAAGCAATGAATCATTGTTAGAAAAAACTTCTAAAAAACACACGCGTTTTGTTTGAGCGGTAGTCTTTTAAATTATTTCCGCAGTGCAGATTTATTTTCGTTCATCGTCCTTAATATACGATCCGTGTACCAGGGCGTTAAGCAAACAACAATCAATAGTATATTCCTCCAGAGTGATATTATAATGTAATGTAGATTCATGCCGATACCCATGGAATTTTACTCATAACATTGAAATTGAAAAAAACTCGCAGCTTTCTTTGCTGTGATATTTTCGAAAAATTCCATCAAGTTAACTTGCTATAAATATCGTTATTGTGTTCTTGTGTTAGTGATTCAAGTATTCTATATGTGCCTGTCCCAAGTCAGGAGTCTTTAAACAAGTACTTGTCGTTTGATGCTGTTTAACGTATTTGTTTCGTTAATTGTTTATTGTGTTGTTTTATTACTATCCCAGGTTTGGGGGAGAATATAACCCCGTACATGCCTGTCTCAAGTCAGGAGTCTGTTATTAAGTACTTGTCGTTTGTTGCTGTTTAACATTTTGTTTTGTGAATTGTCTACTACATATTTTCATTGAGTTGTGTTCTATTGTACCACTCTACCAGGTTAAGAGATAGTTGGACGCCCTCTAAGATGTTAAATCGCGCCTAATTTTGTGTGTGCCTGTCTTAAGTCAGGAGTCTGTAATTCAATATTTGTCGTTTGGTGCTGTATATAATATTTGTCAATATGAATCACGCCATTACTTTTCACGATTGAATGTTTTATAACTTGCTAAACGGTAAGATTTTTGCTCATTGTTGAAGGGGGCACGATGACTTATATTTGATATATTCCATTTCGTTTGGTTTCTGATGGAGAGTTGTCTAATTGGCAATCGTACTTCTGCTTCTTATTTTTATGTACATGTAAATGAAAACGCTCGTTTAAAAATTCATTCGCAATTGCGCATGAAAAACTTGTGAAAATTACAAAACATTTACATACCGTTATTACGTGAATTTAATTGAAACAAAAATAATCATTAAAATTTAAAAAGTATATCAGCTCATTTAACATGAAGTCAGTTTTTGCAATTAACATTTCCCTCGAGGACATCCTTTAAAAACAATAACCATATACTCACCGACATCAGTGATAAAACAAAAAACGAAATATCGGAAAACAAACATAGCTAAGTAGGACGCTTGTTGTTTAAATTGTTTGGGAATATGCTCGATCTCAGTCCCCTATACACTAAATGTTATTTCAGTTCAAAGATAGGTGAAAGAGAATACAATATTGATAAGATACAGCGTTACTATAAATATAGATTGTTCCGTGTTGCATTCACTTTTATATATGATTGATATGTCAAAGGTGACAAGATATTCCAAAATGTGTGTCGAGTTCATCTCTTCGAAAAGTTTACAATCGCTTCTCATATGTACATTTTCTACATAAGGAAATGCCTGTACCAAGTCAGGAATATGACATTTGTTTTCCATTCGTTTGATGTGTTTGAACTTTTAATTTTGCCATTTGATAAGGGACTTTCCGTTTAGAATTTTCCTTGGAGTTCGGTATTTTTGTTGTTTTACTTTTTAGATGAACTGTGGAAAAGTTGTAGCACATTTGACAATTGATATGTTTGATTTGTTTCAGACAGAGTCCCGTCATGCTTAATGACTAAATGGATTACCTGAACTCATAGGATTTTTTACCAGGGGCGGATCCAGGATTTTTTAAATGGAGTACGTAATTCCTGATAATTATATATAAAAAACATTTGGACAATTTTATACTGAAACTTTATATACATCATGAAAAAGACAGATAGAGACAGATATGTGGTGCATGTTTAGGAAGAGTGACTGCTTAGTATTAACACTGTTGTTTACCAATTAAAATTCAAAATAAGCCAAATTTAACAATAGGCGTATCATGCTTAGGCATTTTCAGTTTTTATATATATACTTTTACTAACAAATCAATTCATACCTCATTTATTTTTTATACTTTTTACATTTCAATTAGATAAACTGAAGTCATGAGAACAAAATGTCAACATGTAAAGTAACAATGTCTAGCACAGCTGTTGACCAATCAACGTTGAGTTCACATAAAAGTTGAAAATGAATCAAACCTGATAATGACTACTGTTGTTGAAGGTGATAATAATATGTTAAGGTAATTTATTTCTACAACAATAAGAATATTTTTTTCTTTTCACTACTTTGACAAAACATTAAATTGAGATGAAGGAAAAACTCAAAGGAAAGCTACATATAATCGTGGTACTGATTTCTTCATTGAAGAAGAAATTAAGCTTCAACCACAATTAGACAGGGGCTGTGTGAAACACAATGTTATAACAACCATTATTAGCTGTGGTCAAACTTTGTGAAGGTGTATATAATGATGGATATATGTTAAAATTTATTTTAACAAGAAGATTTTATACACTGTATCATAATGGGAAGAGTTTGGGTAACATTGTTGTGTAGTTTGCTGATAATCGGAGACATTTTTGGTTTTCCTGGTCTACAATTAAGAAATAGAAAAGCAGATTTGAGGCTGGTCGGAGAATCCAGTAAGTTGGTTTTTTTTTATATATTTTCCCACCGATTATCTGTGTACATTGATGGACAAATGAACCTATGCATATTGTAGTGATTAAGTAAATAATTCATAACGTACCGATTCATATTTTTGTTAACTTCATTTATCAATTTAGGCATACAAAACCTCGGCCGTGTCGCAAATGTAAGTTTATCTGCATAGCAGTGAAAAATGGAATTTCTTAGAAGATGTTAATGTGACGAGCCATAATGTTTCTCACACAAAAATTTTTTTTTTTCACATTTTCCCGCAAAATAGGTTACCTTGTAAGATTTACAACATAATTCATTTATTTTTATCTATGGTAACGTGAATATAGTCTTAGTGTTCATTCGTTTAACCTGATTTTGATCGGTTTTTTTTTAGAGTGTGAATGTCTTGGTTTGCTCGTTTTAAGTTTGTTTCAACGTATGATAAAAACAATAATTTCATTTTATTTCACGTACAAAACAATGAACAGGAAAAACAATTGATAGACAGCGACTTCAATAAAATGGGATGCTGTTTTGGGACAGGCACAGAATTTGGTGGCTGTAAATTCCACTTTACAGTATTCTAAATAAAACTTTGCATCACCCATCTAAATATAGTATCGAACAATAATGGTTTTTTTTTATTGCAGTTAATTTTCACGAAGATTGAAATATTTATAAATATTGGTGCGCTAGCATGGTTGTACTGTCTAATTTGATTCTTTGTACAATGTCGTGACACTCAAAAATGGTCAAAATCCATCTGCCACTTATAAGGCCAAAACTGAAACGAGGCCTGACTCAGAAATGTCAAAATGATAAGGCGTGTACGATAGTTTTATACAAGGTGAATAGAATTAGCCTTTAGTTCAAAATATGTAAATGGTGCAAATTAAACGCTTCAAAAAACTGCCTAGAATAAAAAATGTCGGTTTCATTTTATTAAATTAAGATTGAATTTCATAAACATTTATTTCTACCTCCAGTCGTTATCTAATTTATTTAGGAACCTAACGTTCGGATGATAATCTTATCATGTGCTTATTGTGGACAAAACAAAAACAAAAAAATAACCAATATATTTATTGAACTCCACAAGAAATCTACGTGTGTGAATTCAAGATACACTTGTTTAATTAGTTAATGTGTAAATGATGTATAATTTTCAGATGAAAGATGTGTCGACGAATCTGGACCAAGATGTGATGCCTTACACAAATTTTGTGATTACAATGACATAAAACGAATATGTTGCGCAACTTGTAATAACGCTATGAACAACGAAGGTGAGGCTACTTGATGATATTCCTGATAAAACTATAATATTCCACTTTTTGCAGGTTTAGTGCTAAAACCGCATACTATTAAAAAGTTATTTCATTTGCCAATGCAAACGATGATACGCTTACAGTTACTTTGAGCCAGATCTTCACTGAATAAATATAGGCTTAAAGATTTATAAAGATTTTTCTTATGATATTAAGTTTACAACTGCAGGTTCATGTGTTCAATAAATAAAGAGAAAACTAAAGCGCAGCTTGACGGTAGAGAGTTTCAGTTGTACTAAATAGGCTGAAAGTATCAAAGGAATATTCAAACTCATGAGTCGAAAACAAATTTACAACGCCACCAAAAGTGGGGCTGCTCTACAGTAATCTGGAAGAGTAGGCAGATCATCTACTACATGCGACATGTTTAGTTGTATATTGAATTGATTTCGGGAACGTTTCCCATGAACTATTACGTCGTCTTAATAACATAAATTGCATTTAACATTCAAGAAAAAAAAACAATGACTCAGGAAAACTACTCTTCTGAACGATTGAGACAATTAGAACAATATGTCACCATTTGTATATTTATTTAAAGATAACGAACGATTCTTGGTGATTTGAAAGTTGATTTATCAAAACGATAGGCATGGTTGTATATTAGGTAAGACAAAAACCTTTCAATATACCGCAATTCGTTCCTTTTTTGAGAATCAATCAAAATCATTAGGAAATATGGTTTATATAACATGTATAAAAATAGATAACAATACTGGTGTTCCTTTTCAGCAAGGAAGATCCATAGTTTCAGATCAAACAATGCAAAGGCTATTGATCGGGACATGACTAGAGGGTGGCCATGGTAGATCTATGTTAAAACATTGCTGCCAGCAAATTTGTTAAACGGAATAAGGAATCAAAGACTGCCAATGAATATTGATCATTTATTTTATATGTAATGCACATATGCGTGTATTAAACAGATGCAACATTAAATCTATCCTTTGTTGAATCAACTCAGGGGCAAATGAAGATTTCATTTGTGTTGACTGGTTTGTTGTCTTATTGTCATAATTTGCATGTACCTCGCATTTCCTGTCATTCGTAATGATAAATGCATAAAAATCAATTAACAAAATTAAAAAAGACACAACACATTGTATAGCCTACCTTGTAGGGGTTTATAGATTACTATGCTCTATGGTTTTTCCTCATTGTTGTGAGCCGTACGGTCACTGATAGTTAGTTCCGTCCACCTTATTTAGACTCTAGTGCATAGCTGTCTCTTTAACAATATGACCACATCTCCTTATTTTTTTGCACAAAAGAACATTCATCAGTGATATTGAATTGAATCAACTACCTAGCTGAATACATTAGAGTTATTAGTTTATGCTATCGTTATTCAACATAACGTTCAAAAGACTGCAAACTTACAATATTACCATTCATCAATAAAATAATACAAAACTAATAGCAAAAACCCACAGAACAACAACAAAAATAAAACGGTAATCGTTGGCGCATGTAGAGTTTTCCATTACCAACAGTTCAGTAACCTAGGAATAACCCATTTGAGTTTGTTCATTCACCGCCTAAAATTTAAAAAAAAAAACACAAACAAAAGTCATCGTTTTCGATTACCAAATGTCCAGTAAACACTTATTTTCATCATTTAACTACTTCATCAAAAGCAGTGATAAATATTATTTGGTCAAAACTTTAACAAAATGTAATTTACAGATTTATACGGACGCAAGAAGTTTAAAACGTGTTGTTTTCGTTTTACAGCACTGTGTCGGTACCGCTGCTCGTTGATTATCAATCCCAGAGATTATCATCAGCGTAGTAGTCAGGTTATTTGTATTGATATGATTTATAACAAACCTTTCTTAAACTGTCCGTGACAGTTCCTGATGAAGATTAATCCAGAAAAATGCTTCGGAAGCCTGACATTTTTTAACAAGTTGTTTTCATTTTTATTGTGAACGCGTGAATTTCAAGAGAGCAAAAACTAATGATAACAAATACATACTATTTGATACCTGATTGGTACTACTGCCAACCATTTCAAGAACGAAATCTTCTCAAGAAGTTCTCACAAAAATAGAGTCACTATCAAATTTTTGATGTCGCAGTTAAATATATGTGGTTTAAACCACTCTTATCTTGTCAATAGATAAGAGATTTTTTAACGTAGTGCAGGATCTGCTTATTATACTGGAGCAAATGAGATTACCCCCAGTTATTTTTTTGGTAGGTTTGATGTTGCTCAGTCTTTAGTTTCTATGTTGTGTTTTAGGTACTGTTGGTTGTCTTTTCGTCGTTTTTCTTTTTTGCCAGTTCATTATCATTTCGAGTTATCCCTTTGCAGCCGGGCAGCAATTCTCATAATGGCGTCGAAAATGCGACAAAGCTCACGTGCTTTTCCATTCAAAAAATAGTATTTTTTGGAAACGGCATTGACGTCACGAAAAAGGCTGAGTAAAGACATTTAACCTGTTTTCCATTCTAAACCAAGCATACCCTTTGATGCGACAGGTTCCAAACTTTCCCTACGTTATTATTAAAAGGCTGAAAATACAATATTCATTGCAAATTTGGTGTGGTGAAAGATGAAAATACGGGCCGCGGAAATGACATTTGAAAATAAATAAATGTAAATTGAAATGACACACGAAATAGTGACGATTCAACAAGTCGAAAAATAGGACATTAAAAGGGGAATAACTCGATCCCAAAACAACAACAATACGATGGTGATCACAAATGACTGATTGAACAAATGTTTTCCCCTTATTATTGCTTTGTAAGCAGTGTTACTGGCACAAAATGGAAAGTTTAATAAAAATGTGAGTTTCAGTTTATAAAAATATCATTGAAAAGCGGTCATTTGTTAAATATCGTGTCTGTCTGTAGTTTATCTGATAACTAATTAGAAGGAGGTTAGTCCCGTCAGGATATAAACAGAGATCATCATGCCCCTCATCTGTTACAAATTTGTGTATTTAATAGAAGTAAATTGTGGTCTCTAGAAGCTGACTGTTTGCATTTAACACGTCCACCAGTTTTAACGGTAGATAAACTCCTGATATTTGTAAGTCTTAGAATGGATTGAAAAATATTTCATGGAATCATGGTTTTTATTTCAGTTACTCTTCACATGAAAAATGTCATACTTATTTTCTCAAAAGTTCATAGTTGTGATTTTTAATTGAATTAATCAGAGACATGTTAAACCACATATCTCAGGTTAAATAATTGTTTCTAAATATATGTCAATGAAAAAAAACATTGTTTTTTTTATTTATTTATTTTATCTAAAATTGAAACCACAGAAATATATTTTTTGTCCATACTGTTCTAACATTATCCAGAGGATATTTTATTCGGATAATTTAACTAGCAAAAAATAATATAAAAAAAATATATTAATGATCTTTATCATCCTTTAAAAAAATCCAGATGAAATAAATTAAATTTACTAGATTATATCTGGTATACAGAATATTCTGCAAAGTGCATTTACATGAAATAAATTTTATGTTAAATTTTTCAAAAAAAAATAACCAGTTCCTTTGAACTGAATCATGAGCAGAACTCTTGTTCATTACCCCTTCATTCATAATTCAAAAACCCTTTTTCAATCATTAAAAGGGAAAAAATGCATTTGAAAAAATGCAATTTTGTCTTTAATTATTGGTTTTACAGCTGAATTAAAACTATAACCAAATTAAAAAAGGAAAAACAATACATTTCAATAAAATTCATTTGTTATTTGCAAATTAATCTAAATGAATTTAGAAAGTACTTATAGGAATAAATTTAGCCAATACCAAAATAATATGAATAGTAAAAATATAAATCTATATATTTTTGCATCCAAACTTTTATCCAAATTATATATCATTTATTTCTGAACCTTTTAACTGAAATTAGTAATTTAAGATCACTAAGTCTTTTATTTTATAGTTTGAAACAAGACATATAATTTACAAATTTTTATTTTACTTTTAATTCCTAAAATGTAAAAAAAAACTACTATTCACATGTTTAAAATTGAGAATGGAAATGGGAAGTGTGTCAAAGAGACAACAACCCGACCATAGAGCAGACAATAGCCGAAGGCCACCAATGGGTCTTCAATGCAGCGAGAAACTCCTGCACCCGGAGGCGTCCTTCAGCTGGCCCCTAAACAAATATGTATACTAGTTCAGTGATATTGGACGCCATACTATAATTTAATTTCTTAAAGTTTAAAAAAAAGTATTATGAAAACATTATGTTTTTAAACCAAATAAATTCATTAAAAAGGATTTCAAGATTTTGTTTGGAATAAAAAATACATTTTATGATTAAAATAATTGTCAACAAATATGTTGTAAATTTTATGTTGGAGATTTATCCCATTTTTCAATAAAAACATGATTGTTGTGTTAAGCACACAGGCACTTGTCTCAGAAAAATAACATATTAAGGTATATGAAAGGATTTTTTTTTCTGAGACAAGTGCCTGTGGTTAAGCAGCAGTATACACAGAGTTCTACTCCTGACTTTAACATTTACAACATTACAACCAGCAAAGCCAGAGAGGGGTATTTGCAAACTATTTATAAACAAAACAACTTTAATATAATTAATGTAAACATACTACATGTAACATTCAACCTGACAGTATTTAATTCTTTACCTTAACCCACGGCACCAATTATCGAAATTAGGTTAATTATTTAAAAGAGAAATCAGGGCCATTTATAAAAAAAAGATAACCTTTTATTAGTTAACCAGTTCCTTGAAAAAAGTTGGTCTTGCTATTGTGGTTCTTTTCTAATAGGATTTTATATGTTATTTAAACTGATTGCATGATTGTGTCTTTTTAAAATTAAGACTTTTCAATCTTTTTCAAAAGAAGTAAACTTTGCAATTTCATTTAATTTTTAAAAGAAAGCATTATAACAAACTATAAAGCTACACAAATTAAAAAAAAAAAATAAGTATCACATCCACCACCTATTCAATCAGCATAATATAACCAACTTCTAAAAGAGGGAAACTTACAAATGCTTGGTAATCTGAAATTTCATAATTATAAGTTTTATAATTGACTATGAAATGTTATGTGACCGGTCTTGTGCAACTATAAAACAAAAGATAATGTTGAAAACTAAAAAGTAAAAAATATAAATAAAGGAAATGAAGCCATAATAACAATCAAATTAAAAAAATGAAATTATTATAGGATTAAACGCCTTTTTAAAGGAATTTATTGGTGTATAAACTAGACCAATTCACTCACAAACAAATAAAAGTCCGAAGGACTTTTATGATATGTTTGTGAGTGACTTGGTCCAATAAGTTCCTTTAAAAAGGCGTTTAATCCATCCTTATAATTCTTTTAATTGAAGATAAGGAATTTATTTTTCCACACTCATAACCTCTTTCACACGTAAATTGTATATTTATTTCATTGAATTGGCCTGGCGCATAAATATATTTATTGGTTAACGCAAAAGTATGTACTCCATGAAATTTGCTATCTGATAAAAAATAGACTACAAAAATAATATCTTTCAAATGAATGTTTTGTGTTTATTATTTAATTTGACGATTAACGCGAAGCGAAAATAAATATTTTTAACGTCGAGCCGGATTTTGTTATTATCGTCGCTATCTTGTTTACAATGGTTACAAAAAAGAAGTTCCGCCAACGTCGTCTATCGAAAAATAAACAACGTCAAGAACAACTACCGGAAGTCTTCTCGGCCAATCATATCAACGTATTCCCTTATATGCAAATCATATAAGAATTATAAATAAATAATTTAATTTTGGATGTAACGCGTGTTCTGATTGGCTGACGTTGTTTTGTTTATAAGCTCATAGACATAATTTTGTCATGTGACCTGGACGTCATCAACGTTTTTTCAAGG